ACGGTAATGCCAGGGACACACCCACACCTTAGACACAAGATCAAAAGGACAGCGCTGGCCCAGGGATGAAGCTTGCAAGACAGGAAAGGACAGGCAAGAAGGACACACGGAAAATGGCAAAAGGAGAGAAGTGGGCCGAGCGTCATTTCATTGTGGGGGCTGCTGTCTACGCCACGAAACGCAATGTACCTCCACTGCTGGATACAAAGCCAGTTCGCTCTGTTAACTTTCTCTCAAGTCACAACAGAAAAGTTTTAAAATGTCTTCATTTGGAAAAAAAAAAAAGCAACCTGGAAAAATCTAGTAATCTCAATCTGTCCCTGTCTGGTTCCAGGGAATCCTGGGATGATTTTTTTTTTCTTCAAGGCCTAATTTCTTTCTTCAGATATTTGATTCTTGCCATGACTAGAGAGCTTGACAGTGGAAAGGGGTGTGGGAGGAGTCAGGGTAAAATCTATGGGAATTCACAAGAACGCTCACTCACCTTATTCTAAAATACCCCCGGGGTAGACCCAGAAAGGCACACTATGTCAATGTATGGCTTTCTTTCCTTTCACCCAGCAAGGTAGCTGATGACACAATGTTACTGAACATAATTCAAAACAGTCCTGCTGAGCAAACAGCAGAAAACAAACGTCTAGAGAAATTACTCCGCAATTACCTCCTGATTAGCCTGATGACTTAGTTTTAGCAGCCAACAGTGTGTTGTTGTTAGTACAGACTTATTGATATTCTTTTCTTCTTGGTAACCTGGTATCTCCTGACCTTGCCAGAAATTGTGCCATAATGCGTTCCAGGAGGTAAAAAATTAGGGCCCTGAGTTTAAAAGTAAATAAGTAAACAAGCAGCTTTTTATGGTTCTCTGAGTGAACACCTACACATATATTCTTTTATGACCTTACCTACTTTCCCCACAGTGTAACAGCATTCTACCTGCTTCCTTCCTGTGATTCTCATTTCCATTCATTCATCTTGACTATCCTTTCCTAGCTTCTGATCTTTATCCCTGAGCCAATGTAAGCATACATGCTCGGATATTCTGCAAGTAGCTTCCAGCTCACCTTATTTTTATGGTTCACCTTTTGTTGTTATACGCCAAGTTGGAACCTACTCATAAGTGACCCTTCAGTGGGTTTTCAGGGGCTGTCAGTTGCATGGAAGGAGACAGCTCACCTTTCTCCCACGGAGCAGCTGGTGGATTTGAACTGCCTGTGTTTGGAGTGCCACTGCTTAACCCTAAGCTGCAGAGATCCCAGTTCACCCACTAGGTGAACTGCTTACTGTTTGGCTGAAATCTGAGCCACTGGAGTGAGTTAAGTCTGGGCTTGAAGGGTGACTAAGATGCATGGTCCCAGGGATTCCACCAGGCTCTGTTCGACCAGCTTTGTTGTTGTTGTTGTTTGGTGCTGTCGAGTCATAGACGACTCATAGCGACCCTATGAACAAACGGCCTGAGCACTGTTCGTACATAGAGTTTCCGGAGGCAAGCCATTTCGGAAGTGGATGCCGCTCCTGCTTCCAGGCTTCTTTTAGTTCGACCAGCAGGACTTAAAAAACCATTTTCCTCTCCATCTTAAGGATCTAGACCCATGGTTCTCAACAAGGAATGATTTTTTTTTCTCCCAGAAGCATTTAGTCGGGTGTGAAGACATTCTCCCTCATCACAGCTAGAGACTGGTAGTGCTCCTGGCATCCAGAGCGGAAGGGCCAGGCCTGCTGCAAAATATGGTACAAGGCACAGGACTGCTCCCCACAACACAGACTTATCCAGCCCGAGCCTCGATGGTGCAGAGGCTGAGAAGACTTAGCCTGGATGCAAACTGTCCAGTTCTCAGAATGCTTCAGGCTACATCTGTGTTCCTCCCTTCCTTTTCCTCAAGTCTAACTTGGTGGTCTATTCTGGTCACTGCTAACATCTACAACAGAATCATAAAAAAACCTTTCTTCTTCTTCAGATGTGTTCAAAATATGCCATCCATCAAACCCATCTGCCCTAGAATATTTTTTTTCATCTTTAAAATGATCAACATTATAGGAACACCATCTTATGTGAGTCTGACATCTGAAGAAAAGCTTTAATTTTATTCCCCTCTTTCTTGTTAAGTATATCCCTGAGTTTTCATTCAAAAAAAGAAAATAATTTTAAAGGTTGTGGTTTTTTTTTTCACCATTAAGGAAAGACATTCAAACGAGTAGCTTATTTCTGGGTTCTTAATGATGCCCCTCAATAACTAATAAAATTAATAATGTAAATAATAAAATTATAGCATGATGTCCTAGGTTACATACTGGAACTCTGACTTGGGCATCCTGAATCCTGACAGTCACATTGCTGGCTCAATGCAGCCCATAATAAGCAGGTGCTGACAAACGACCACTCAAAAAGCATCAACTTCCAAAACTTAAGTCTTGACTCTCAGTAAGAAGCAATATTACCATGCCTCTTGGGAGAAAAAAAAATAATAATGATGATGTACACATCTCCACCATGGTGTATATGTACATGGCTTGTTGTTGCTGGTCGTCACTGAGAACCTTCCAACTTATGGTGACTTCAGTAACACAACATAGTTGCCCAGTCCTGCAGAATCTTAATGAACTGTCGTATGTTGAAGCCCGTTGCTTCAGCTGCAGGTTTGTTTTGTGCTCTTCGTCCATAAGGAATGATATTGCTAACCCAAAGGCCACCCTACGTTGGCATCTGAATCTGACTGTGGCTTTGCAGGAGAAAGATGTGCAATCATCTAAGGAACCCAACACAGTCAGCTAGGAGTGGGGCTTGACTCAACCGCAGGGAGGTGTGGTTTGGATTTTTCCAAGTTTCCAATCGGAGGGGAATCACGTTCTAGCATTCGATTCTGTTGTGATCCACAAGGGTTTAACTGGCTAATTTTCAGGAGCAGAATTCCTGGCTTTTCTTTCTATCAAAATCTGGAAGCTCCACTGAAACCTGTCCTTCATGGGCAACCGTGCTGGTAGATGAAATATCCATCGCATTTCAGGTAATACTGAAAGCATCCACAGCGCAGCAAACTAGAATATAGGTGATGGTTACACATGACAGGGGACTGATGATACATATGTAATGACTGAAAGCGTGAGGGCTAACACACCCCAACTCATCAACGCTTGGGCAGAAATCTCCTGATTTAGGAAAGATGACATACCAGAACTAATTAAGAAGGTATTCCAAAAAACAAAGATTGAAAGTAAATCTACACATTGACATAGACAGGGCAACGGCTGGGAGGGGACATTAATCTAGACCCTCTGGGGCTACTCATCTGGGCCTTTATACATATTATCTACAAGCTGCACAATTATGTACCCAAATAGATGCATAAATGATTATTAATTCACACAAAGGGAAACTTGAGGTCTGAAGAAGTTATGTCTCTAAGGTCACAGATCTTACTCCCAGCAATAAGGGGTATATCTCAGCCTGCAAGCAGGGCCACTGAGGCATAACTGTGCATTGTCTTAGGCTTCTGCCTCCCCACCTCACTCTGGTGGCTTCCCCAATGTGACTGGGTGGTCTTTCCCTGTGAGGAAATCGGAGACAATGGCCATATACATGCGAAGAAGCAGGTGCTGGGGGTGCTGGGGGTCGGGGCTGGAGAGGGAATGTGGAATGCAGCAGTGTTTCCCCCAGCTCCTGCTGTCTCCTGAATGGCTGGCAGCAGACGAAGACTTAATTCTACTGCAAGAAGTGGCCCTTGAGTTGTAAATCAAAGTAGATTTCGGAGAAGTGCCCCATACTAGGGAACTTTACCGTCAATGTTAACATTTCCAAAAGAGGTGTTCACTTCCTCCTTTGCATCATTTCCTTCCATTTAATCTCCCTCTGTATGTCACAGAAGGGTTGAATTGAGCTTTTGCACACATAGAGAACATTCGATTCCTGTGCAGCCCAAAGTCTAGATGCACAGTCACTGCTCATGTTTTTTATCAAAGGTATTTACAATGGATCAAGTCATCGGTCGAATACAATTCTATCTTGCTCTCTCTACAGCCGTGTGGGGGGAACCCAGCGAGGATCTCTGGCACAAGTCTCACGTTGGTTGCCTGGCTCTTTTGCAGCAAAGGCCATCAGCTGGGTCGTGACCTTCCTCACCATTTATCTGGCTACATCTTTGTTCCTGGTTACCTTATGCTCCTGAAACACTTTTCCATCTGTTTATTTAGTATTACAGGCCATTAAAGGCATAAAGTCAGAGCTGCCTCAAGCTGGGCTGGTAGCTAAGCATTGAGCAATGGGACCTGAAGCACTGGTCATTTGAGGCAGCATTTTTGTGCATGTTAAGATGTCAACACCATTTACAGCAAAACTTACAGCCCGGTGTGCATCCATAATGGTGCAATTCTCTCAGATTAAAAGTTTATATGAATAGTAGAGCAAGACAGAATTGAAAGAGGGTAAGGCATACTTCAAGTGCAAGCAAATTTCTCAAGTAAGTCAACTGGCAACAAGAGATTGATAAAAAGGGACTGTCTGCCTCTTACCCCAAATATATATATGTATCCTCTCCCCTTCAGGCCAGAGAAGAACAGATAAACCACAGCCTTGTGGAACATCTACCCCAAAACAATCAACTGGGCCCAATTTTCCATGTACTTTGGGACTAGGAAGAGAGACACGAAGCAAGAGGGAAGCTTAATAAGCCCCTTTATGAACACTTCTTAAACTTCAGTCCTTGCACAAATTACATCAGAAGCTCCCAGGAAAGAGGTGAAAATGCCCATTCCTGGACCCACATTCCAGAGGACAAGGCTGAGAATTTCTTGGGGGTGGATCTAGAGAATGTGCATTTCACCTGGCTCCCCAGGTGGCCTCGCTGCCCACCAAATTAGAAGAACCAACTACCTTTGTGGGCAGAACTCAAGATGCCCATTTTAGCACACAGCTACTAAAGCCACTTAGAAGAGGTGCTGGCCATCCTGGCACCGCCCCCAGCCCACCCTCCTCTCCATCGGAAAGGTGCACCCTCAGAAGGCGTTACCTGGTCTGATGGGGCTTTGCATGCAGTTAGGGGAGGAGAGGCCCGGGTGGATGGGTGCAGAGGCCCGACTGCTGAGGTCCATGACGGAAGGGGCTGAGGAGGAAGCCGGCTGCAGCCCTGGCGGGTGAGGGCTGTGGTCATGCTGAGATGGGCTGGGGGGTATGCCATTTTCCGACAGAAACTCCTCCAAGTCCATGTATTCCAACTGAAAAGTATCTCCATCGTATGGAAGGGTTTTGTCCCATAAGGTGGGCCCCAGGAAGGCCGACTGGGGGACAGTCGGGCTGTTACTGTCATCATCCAGCTTCTTCTCCTTGTCTTTACTAAAGGCTGCAGGGAAAGGGGAGAGTTGAACTTTAATTATTATTTTTAAAATAAAAAAAAAGGTTGGGGAATGGGGAAGGAAAAGAAAAAGCGTTGTTTTTTACAGCCTTCTTGGCCTCTGCTAGCAAACCACTTCAAAACCTTCTCCTCTCCTCACAGACACCAGGATCCCTCTCTGCCTGGGCACTTTGTGGAATTGGAGTTAAATGTTCAGGCAAGCCATGGCCCTGTGCCTGCTTTTCAACATCTTCCTATTTACTTTGGAAAGCAAGCATGAGTCCTTGGGAGAGGGCTACCCACTGATCTAGAATCAAAACAAGGGAACAGAGTTTGCAGAGTAATCTCCAGTGGATGATGTGGGGCCATAAAATATAGCAGCCTCCAGTGGAGGGGGGGACACCTGTGACTGCACCCCACCGCTGTGATTTTTTTAAGAAAACAGCCAGTAAGCAGGCGTGCTGGGTCTTCCAGGAAACGTATGCCTTTGACAATACTGGGTCATTCAGATCACAAGGCAGGCAGCTTGGTGATCTTAATTTTGGCAAAGCGAGGAGTCTCCACTTTTCTCTAAACAAAGTCGAGAAGGAATGGACGACCTGGAATTTGAAGGGCTTGGTCCTTGTCTTAAGTAGCAGGGGGAAAGGAAAGCCTGAAGGAATTTGCTTTGAAGCCAATGGGATATACTGTTTTACACAAAAGCGGGGTTTTAAATGCAAAAAGACTTGCATTGCCCCTCTTCCTCCAACATTTTAAGGAGGTTCAGATTTACAGAAAATATAGGTGCATACAATCTGGCAGAGGCACAGCTATCGGAAAAGGCGGGATAATTATGTATGGAGGTAGGTGGCCATCTCCTTCCTGGAAAGAGCAGGCGACTGATCAGGGATGCTCTGAATTTTGCCAATTTCTATTCCGGCGCTGGGGGAACCTGGGATTAAGGGATTCGGAGGTTTTTCCACAGTCTCCATGGCCATCCATTCGTACTCTCTAGTCCCATCCCCAAGAATCTGACTTAAAGTACCCACAAATGCAAGCGCCTGCAGGAAGCCCCCTCTTCCCAAGGAGCGACCTTTAGGAGAGTTCAGGGTGGGAAGCTGGGCTCTGCAGAGAAGGACTCTTGCTCCACTCTTGCAAAGCAACAGGTAGTCCCTGGCAAAGGCGACTGGAGAACTCCTCAGCTACCTGTGACCAAACAATGCGAGCCGTGCAGTGCACATTTTCTGTGAGACCCAAAGCACAAAGACGCATCAGCCCAACAGATGCGTGCCTGCCCTGGCTGGGCCCCGCGCCCGCGGCACGCGCCCCTCCCCCGCCGGCCACGGTCAAGGTTGCTAGGGAAGGTCTCGGGACTTACCAAGAAGTGGCTCAAGCCCGAGGAGGCTCCTCCGAGGTTACACGTGAGCCTGCTGGCTCTCCCCTCCCACCAGGAAAAGTGAACCAGGAAAGTCTCAGCGCTGGAGGCGTGCGCGGCTTCCAGCAGGGAAACCAGCACCCCTAGTCCCAGCCCCCACCCCCCTTATAAATTCCCGTTCATGGGGAGAACCTCCTCCGCTCACACCTCCCGAGTTCCAAACACTAATAACAAAAGCAAACAACAAGACCCCAATAACCAAGCTACTGCAGTGAAACGCCCCCCAACTTCAGGCACTGTCCCTAGCCCACACCCCGGGAAGCACCAGGCTTCTCCTCCCGCCCCGCCAAGCCCCGCGGTCACGACTGGGGTTTGGGGATTGAGGTTTTGGGGGGCCTGGGAGAGGACAATGCTGACATGCCAAGTTCCACCTTCCACCTGCACCGAAGAAGCGGGACCAGGGGGGGCTGGCAGAGTGGGGTGAGGGCTTCGCCCAGAGGGGAGAGTGAAAGTAGGGGCTCCAGCGGGGCCCGGGGTGCCAAGCCGAGGAGGGGGCTCCGGAGCGTCACCCCTGCCAGCGCTCACCGTCTTCGTGGTGAAGGGGGAGCTTCAGCGGGTTCTCCAGCAGAGACCTGAGCACGCCGTAGGGAGGCGGGATAAAGGTGGGGTTCAGGGGGAGCGGTCGGGACATTTTCTCCATCGCGATGGACTCAAATTTTTTTTTTTTCTTAAAAAAAATCAAAATACAAGTGCAAAACCTGAATCGTCCCCCAAAATGTTGCTGGGTTGTTTGCTCCGTCGTTTGGCAAAAGTACTCTCTTTCAAGGCGGTGAAAACAAGGGAAGAAGGAAAAAAAAAATCACTTATAGCTTTATAAATACATCTGCATAAAAATTTATTTCAAAAAACCAAAACAACTTTCAGATTCCTGGTGCAGACGGTCCCCGGAGAGCGCGCCAAGTGCCCCTTGAGGTCCCCAGCGAAATGCAAGATGCGGACACCTGCCTCGAACCCCTCGTCTCGCAAAATGTTCCAAATTGCGGGGAAAAAAGAGAGACGGGAGCGTCGCCGGCTGCAGAGCAGCGCAGGC